ACAAGACTAAAATATCCTTATTCAATACGTATTGGGAATGAAATGAATATAAAAAATACTTAGCCTCCACTTAATCTAATGCATTAAAAAGTTAAGAATAAATTTGGAAGAAAAAATATTAATATGCTTTAGTTTCATTAAACGACAAATATTATGAAATAAAATTTTTTTAAAAAACGACAGATATTCAGGAACGGAGGGAGTAACTTTTAAGTAGGTGAGTTTCTCAAATAATTTTAGAAAAAAATATTATTTATGTTTTGGTTTTATTAAACGACGGATATTATGGAACAAAAAAAATTATATAAAATGACATATATTTAAGAACGGAGAAAATAACTTTTTAACTTGGGTGAATTTCTCAAATAATTTTTCTGCCTTTCTTTTTTTGTTTTGCAGCGTGACCTAAGAAACAACTGAATTTAATGTTCAGATTGATGGGAAGGAATAACCTCATCATTATTGTTACAACTAATAGGGAGGACCTTCTTGACGAAGCCCTACTTAGGTAGCCTCATTCCTCTATTTTTTTTACTTTATTAGAATCTGGATAAATCCAATAAAATATCAATCACTAAGCCACTAAAACCTGAGCGTTAGCCTCGCTTCGAAGAATGTCCCATAATTTTTAGATGTGCAGCAATAGCGTAAATAAAAAATTTGAATATATAAGAAATAGGTCTCATAAAAAATTTAGATTTAAATTCAAATAAAAGATTTCAATTTGAGTGAAATCGACTTATTAATTCAGTCCATGGAATTAAAAAACCCTAAATTTCAAAAGGAACAAAGTTAACAATAAAACTAAACTACTAAAAATTAAGTCGTAACTCTTCTAAAAAATCAAATTCAAACTTACTATTATAATTTGTCAATCATTCTCTTCCTTTCTCTCTCTTACTATCAAGTTCAACTATAATAAAAAAAGCTTGAATATAAAAAAAGCTTTTTATACCCTTTGAACCGGATCCCTCGATTCATACAGAACCAATTTTTTTGCATCCTTGAAGGTTTAAAAACTAAAACAAAAGCTTGAAGGTTTTGATGCAAATGAAAATCCTCACCCATTTATAGGCCTTCTTCATCTTATTACGAATGACTAAGATAGTGTTAAAAGTTATACATTTATGGTGTATCTAGAATATTTTGAACAAATATCTAGACTTCTAATATGTATAAGAAAACGTTAGGTCTCTCTTGTACATCTTCTTATTTTCATTATATATTCTATAAGAGCAATATTATTGGAACAAAATAGATTGTGATCAATAGAGTGATAGTGAAATGCATTTAATGATGCAATGGGTCCCATCATTAAATACGTTCTCTATCAACTCATTGGTCACAATACATTATATCCTCAAATTATGTCCCTCAATTATGTTTCAATAGCATTAATCATTGGAGAATATCCCTTGAAGAATGTTTAAATAAGAATTAAAGAACTCATCCTAAAGTTGCTTGAAATTTTCAAGAAGATAAGACATGACAAAAGCCTCACTTAACGTAAGATTTTGTGTGTTAAGATAACTCATCTTTGTAATATTTACATAAAAAATATGTAAGATTGAAAAAAACAAATGTAAAAAAAAAAAAGATATTCATTCAATTATGTCGTATCAGAATTGTTTCAATTTATACCCGTTTAATTTATAATTTTGTATAGTCGACTTTGTATTATATACAAGTTATATTTAACAAATTTGTTTTGTGTTTAGTCGGATTTGTGTTGACCTGTTTATTTAAATGACCTGTCAAGTTCATTTATTTATCACCCGTATTTATTAAGGCTAAACTCAAGCTCGTTATTTGCTACCGATTTCTTATTGAATTCCGGCTTAATATCTCTAAAATTATCTTAAAATTAGAAACCCTAAAAAATTTTTGAGCCCCGAATATGTGTATTAAATTGGGCCCCAGGGGGGTGGCCCAGTGCATAGGGCCGGCGCTGTCCAAACTTCAAGAGTCACTTTCTTGGTATTAGCGTCTATTCTTATATTAGTTTAAAGCAACTTCACGCCTCTATTATTGCTATAATAATGTCATATGGATTTAAAATTAAATTTAAAAAATAGACTTAATAATTATAATTATTGGATAGATAATGAGTCGTAATAAATACTGGGATCCATAATAAAATTAATAGATGTAATTATCAAGTCTACTTTTTAAGTCTAATTTTTAAGTTCATGTAATATTACTCTACTGCTAATTTTGCATTAGAAAGAATGACTGAGAAGTTAAATAAATATGTAGAGTTACGTTAAGAGTGAAGGGGAAAACTTGTATTATTCGAAGTTCAGATGGCATACAAGAAAAAAGCTACAGTTGCTTAGTGCACCACCTTATGCTATAGTGAATCATTGAAGGAGGATATCCCCATATGAAGTGTGCGTTTGTTGTTGTATGGTTGTTTGATTAAAGTTATTGGTTGTTACTTTGAATCAAGTGAATATAATTATGTACCAAGTTTACAACAGGGCAAAAAAAAAAAATAGTTTACAACAAACTGATTTCAGGTCTGAATTATTCAACCTGAAATTAGACTGAATTAGATAATTCGAATTCAATCCGAGTTTGTTCGAAATTAACTCGAACAGTACTCGAGTTGAGTATCTTGGGTGTTGGTCGAGTTAGAGTTAGGATTAAGCTTAAAAATTTATACCTAAAGTTGAGTTAAAGTTAATCCCTCGACTTGCCCAACCTACCCAAATTACAACCCTACTTCTGGACCCCATATGTGCTACTACCCCAAAACCAATACTTAAGGATTTAGAAAGGTTAAAAACTTGCCATGGACCATTACATGGTTCCTGGGTCAGACAAAGTTAGGAGAATTTGTAGGGACAATTTTTCTTGCACAAGGTGTGCAAAATCAATAACATATCCCCGATGGTGATTAAGGGAGACTGTGCCTGTATCATTCTTGACTTTCAGCTATCTTCAGTTCTCTTTCAGTCATGCAACAATGAACATTTGAAATTTGATGTTATTGTGAAGGTCTTGCCAAGATTTCTTTTTGTAATTTAATGAGATAGGTATGGGCTTAGTGCATATTTAATATTGGTCCTATTTAGAACCGACTCTTTTAGGTGAGAATTTGTGATTTGAAAAATTTTGTCAAAAGGCAAAACTAAAAAAAATCTTCCAAAACCGTTTGAGGTGTCCTTTAAAAAGTTAAACAAAATTAAAAAAATCGGTTTGAAATGACTTTTTAGCTTTTTCTTGTCAAAATAAAAATAAATAATTACATATATGTATAGATTATACATTATATTTTCTAAAATATGAATTTCAAATTATTTTACGTCACTAATAATATTTTATGAATATAATAAACTAAAAAATTATGAAAGATCTTTCACAAAACTCCATCAAAATCGAAAAAAAAAGTCGTAAAATCAAATTCTTGAATCAACCTTTTTGAGTTCAAAAAATAATTGTATAAACTGTTAAAAAAACTAAGGTCTAAACGAACCTAACTTATTTTACTTCAAAACCTTTAAAAACTACCTATTTAAACTAACTCCAAATATGATCATTATTGTTGAATCTATTAAGCTTGATATCATGAGTGACGCAATGCAAAAATTTTAAACAAGTAACACTGCAATTGATTGAATTTGGCTTCACCGCGTCTTCAATCAATTAAATAGCTTCCTATCAATGAATATGCATAGATTTAGACTGATCTATCCAATTTTTTACACATAAATCATACATCAATGATCTATTCGACAAAATGATTTGCATATCTGCTAGAGACAACTTCATCCATTATCATTTCCTGGCATAAATCCTGTCATTTTAGTTTTGGCAAAGGAGATGGTAATTCTACTTTCTGACTAGCTTTCTTTGCTTGTTAAATTAGTTCCGAGATGGATGAAGAACAAAAGGTGAGGACCTTGACTCTGTTGTTTTTTCATTTTAATAAAGCGTCTTTGAAAAAGTATATCTTAGTAATGATATTTTTTTTCATAATGCAGGGCCCTCCAGTGGTTCTACCGACGACAGGCCAAGTCTTGCAGGAAGCAATTATAGTATTATAGATACAGTAGATACTAGATTGAATTCCTGAGGAAAATTCGACAAAGTGCACCACACAGTCAAAGTTAAATCCAGCAGTGGCTCTGGGATACTTTTGTGGTGTGTGAGGTTTAAGGTCGTAATTCTATAACCAAAAAGGTTATTACCCTTCAGAAAAAACTAAAAAAAAAAAAAAACGTTTTCATGCCACTAAAACTGAAACTCAACATTTTGACGCCAGAAACCAAGGAGCTAACAGAAGATGTACCAAGGTATTCGTTAAGAGAACCCTTCAAGAAGTTGAATGGGCAAGGGAGTCGGATTGTACATCACTAGCCCACAAAATGAAATTAGAGTGTGACAAAAGACACATCTACATATAAAGAGATTTACAGTAATCATACAAAACTGGGAATCTTTTTCACCAACCTCTGCCGGAGAAACATAGCTATCTAATGGGATTAGAGGTTGGGGAAAAAAAGGAAAAAAAGTATAGGGGTTTGGTAAACTATATGGAAACCGATTAAGATTGTGGCATATGACAAGTAATCTCGAAATACGCAGGTCAACATGGTATAGAACACAACTTGAGTAGATAATGCTAGAAGGTGGAAATTCAACGCTTTTTACCATTGGTCTTTGTAATCCTTGATTTATGGGATTCACTGGGTGGCTTCCATATGATATCCTCAAGATTGCCACAAAAGTTCTTGTAAAACTGCATCAGCAGATAAAAAAACCAGGCGAGTGTGGATCATCAGAATCCAAGAAAGCAATCCCTTTGTTCTCACTACTACACTAGGTAAGGGACAAATCATAATCACAGATATCGAGCAGCAACAGTGAGTAGTAAAACTGAAGGCAATAAAATATGCGAAAAATTACTTGGCATTAAAGCTTAACCACGTGGTAGAAAAGAGAACAATTTGAGCAACTGACCTTGAGATATTCACTAGCATCTCCAGCTGCTTTCTGAATATCTACCATCAAAAATGTGGGGGCAACTTGAAACACCTGTTCAGAAAATGGATTATTTAACTAAAATCAAAGGATGGTTGACTAGTGAGCATGGGAGATAAGGGCAGAGAAATTACTTCCAGAATTATCGAGAAGTGAGATGTCTTATTGGCTGAGAGACCCTCCACCCTCATCTGAAAGGAGTTTCAATTTTGAATGAGTTCAGAAAACATACATGACTTTTTAGTTTTTAGTATCACGTCATTAGTTGATCAACTTTTGGGGATATTGGACTAAGTACTGCATCAGGAAACTGGCTGAATTTACCAAGTTCAACTGCTCAACCTTATAATTACGAATATGTGTCTTGAAACCCATTGATTGTGCAACTACTTCCATACTCGATAAAACAACGTTCGCTGATTTCTGGGAAACAAAGCGTGTTTGATGCTTCACAGAATCCTGTCAAGAAGGGACAATGTATGAAATATATCAATGAGATGACAAATCCATTCACAATAAATTATCATCTGAATATAAACACTTCCTTTTAAATATTGGAACACATAAACATGGTATATGGCTGAAAAGGAAGATGAAATTGTACTGATCGAGATCAAAAAATATTTGACTCACTATCGAGATAAAATGTTAAGAACATATATTATCACTGGTTAATATTTGAGATGAAGAGAAGACTGCTTGAACGTCCACTGACTGGGCATAAGGTGACAAATTAAAAAAATATACCTGCCCACGGTCAAATATTGATGAAAGGTTCAAGCCTTGAGAGAGAATAATTAGGTCGAATGCATTAAGAACAAGAGGCCCCACATCCTCACTCCTGCTCTCATTAGCTTGTTCTTCCTACAAGATATCATTGTGCATTAAACTTTAGGAAAAGGTTTCAAAATAATAGCCAACAAATACTTACAAAGAAACTGGTGTGAAAGCTCCGTGATTTTAGCGAAAGGAGACCCCTCCTTGAAAATATATCAAGTAGAGTAAATAGTGAATGCTAAGGTAAAAGTAGAAACTATGGTTTCAATAAGGGATAACTTTATCCTTTCATAGATGTGTTTTATGGTAGTTGTCATCTTTATATTTCATCAAATTCCCAAATCAACTACATTCAAGTGTTCTATCCACTGATAAAGCAAAACTTAGTAACTGAAGTGGAGAATGGAACCAAGACGGTGAGCACCAAGTAGAGCATGATTCCCTAAAAATAGTGAGGGTTCAAACTTCGATACCTGTTTCTGTATCAACCAAGCAGGTTGTCAGCATTCAATTTTTTGGTGTATCAACCAAGCGTGTTTGTATTTTTTTGGTGAAATCTCACGTGGATGTGCAATCATCAGCTCATCTCCTACTAAAATGCCAATCAGTTGAAATTTTCGCTTTCATGGGTGCAAGTGGTCGCTAAGGCTGTTAACTTGTGCGTAAATTTACTCTCGTACATCTATCTTCAACAGTTCAGTGGAAACTTTAGGAGATGGGTAGCTTGGGCCATCCAAAACATGAAAACTTTTTGTTTTTAGACTAAATTGATTAACCTCAGAATGGAGGTTAATTCCAACCCGCCAATGCAAATTGAGAGCGAGCATTTCATTGCTAGACAGTAGACACAAACAAGTAGCTGCCACCAACCTCACAAAAAGCATTTCCAGATAACAACAAATGCAACTAAAGTAAAATGGCACTGAAAGCCTTACCAGCCCACTACCAAACTGCATGAAACAAACACATCCACTATTTCCTATAAAACCAAATTCTATGAACCGAAATTATCAATTCAAAACTGTACCAACCTCAGGATCATCAAAAGCAGCATTCACATCATCTAGGTTAACATCTTCATTTTCAAGAAGTCTGACAGGATCATAACCTCTTTTAAACCACTCATCATTCCTAATCTCCTCAATCCGAATACGCTGCACCAAGAAAGAGGAATGAAAAAGCGAGAAAGTTATTATCCCTTGTCAATAAAAAAAACATTAGTTGTATTGGCATGCATTTTCCAGATAAGATAATATGGAAATATCAGAAGTATGATGTTGGTGTATCAACGGTCACAATATCCTACTCATTTTATCGACCAACGACAATAATGAGAACAACAAAAATGTGAAACACACCCTCCTAGGTGGCATAAAATACTGCTATGTGGAAATATTGTACTAAAGTATCAATTGATGGCTCCATTGAGCCATCAAAAGTGGGTATGAATTTTTGCTATGCAATAGCCTATTTCAAGTACCCTTAAAGATCAGCTTCTACAGGCAAAATTGCTGCAAGTCGGTTGAATGGAGCTTACCTTCACTCACAGTTTCCCATGCACCCAATCAACAAAGTTGGGTAAAATAAAGCAGAACCAGACTATGATGTACAAGGTCCACACCTTTTTTGGTGGGGACCTACAACGTTTTTATTCATTGCTATTATCAATTCTTTGTAGACTTGGCACAATTAATTTGCTACTAGGAATGAATTATGATTTTGGGCCCAAGTTAGTAAAGGAAATAATTGTACATACACGTATCTGGTAAGTTCATACATATCTCTCCTCTACATAGCCTATTAAATAAATGCATCCAGGAGGATGTACAAAATGGTATCCAGTAAGTATACAATTGTCGCACAATACTTACTGTCCCAGGGTTTGGGTCTAGAATTTGATTAATCAAAGATTTTGCTCCAACTGGAAACCAAGATGGACATGAAAACTCTGCTGTCTCAATCTGCAGAGAAGATGCATAAGTTGCAAGATTTCGATAATGTTGAAATGTAAAGCAGACTCCTATGCAGATAGAAAATATGCATTTTGAGTCCATAATCAGGACAAACATATTTAAATTGAGGTTTAAACCCGAGAAGTGGAGTCCCAAATGAAAATGATATCAAAAAGTATCATGAGATATAGATATGATGATAGTTTAATACCTTTCCATACAGCGTGGTGAGATCAACCTCATCAAACGGGAGATAACCTGCCATCAGCACATAAAGGATGACCCCACATGACCAAACATCTGCCACAGCACCATCATAACCCTTGTGACTAAGAACCTAGAGCAGAAAAGTGAAGAATGGGAAAAAAGAAGTTTAATGCAGGAGGAAAAGTGGGAGACCAAAACAATGTCATTTCCCATGTTTATTTTACATTTCTGCCCAAGAACTATAATAATTACCTCAGGTGCAACATAGTTAGGAGTTCCACAAGTTGTCCGAAGAAGGCTGACTCCCTATCACAAACAGCATCGCACAACACAATGATAAAAGTGTTATCAAATGCGACATTGTTAAGTCTGATGACTCTAATACACACTATAACCACTAGAAATCTTACTTGTTCAGGTAATGCACTAAGTCCAAAATCTGAAATTTTCAGATTTCCTTGGGAATCTAGCAAAAGATTTTCAGGCTGTACATAGCAAGAAAATTCAGTCAGTACAAAAATGAAACAATAATCACATTTTTTTTTGGCATCAGCCATGGAATACCTTCAAATCTCTGTGGTATACTCCTTTACTGTGGCAATAATCCACACCATCGATCAGCTGTTGGAAGTATCTACGAGCTTCAGCTTCACTAAGTCGTCCATGGTGAACCTGTATAAAAAAACGCATGATATCAGTAGCCAATTCAACATAAAAGAGCAGAACATTGCTTAGTGTAAATACACTGCATCCACAATAAGCTGCAGGATATTAAGCTAGAAGACTCACTATTTTATCAAATAACTCGCCACCTGTGATGAATTCTAAGATTATGTAGATCTTTGTCCGGCTTGCTATAACCTAACAAAATATATATAAGTTAGCAGGAGGAACACGTCAACAAAGAGAGAATTTCCCCACATGCAAAAAAGTCTAGAGTGATATTGGAAACTTAAGATTTCTATAACAAAAAGTTTATACTCTTGATTTTGAGCTCGTGCCTCGTGTAGACGGACAACATAAGGATGTCTGACAAGCTTCATTATGGATATCTCCCTCTTAATCTGGCCAGTCATCAAAGAATTACACATTGGTCAGAACAATAACACAACTGTGCAAATGAGATTCCACATTCGTCAAAGATATGAACCTAGTTTTACAGAGTAAGCACACAAATGAAATTCAATTCTCCACAATAGAAATGATGTCAAGATGATTTACAATTGCAAAGATTTACTTAACTAACTCAAAATGCACCAGTTTCTCCAGGCAGCAATAGTAAATTCAAGGAGGCAGTTCAAGCTCTGGTGGATACTTGAACCAAGCTAGTGTTGCAGAACAAAGCAGACCAAGGATGGAAATGTTCTGAACTGGATAAGATACCACTGTTCATAATTGATTCCTTGAAATTTGAAGATGTTTGAATTTTGCCCTAGCCTAAGTAACATATTCAATCTTTGTTCACTAGTAATTTTGCAAACAGAAGCTTGATGCACAAACCATACTGCGAGCTTGTCAAGTAGACTATCTCACTGTCAATTTTATGATTGGAACCAATACCTTTAACAATAATAACACAAATTAGAGACTAAAACTCTATGATACGTTTCAAAATAGTCAACAAGAGAAACATCCTGTGATCCACCTTATATATTAGATTAAAAAATTCACTGAACATGTTTGCATATTTCATTCCCTTTATACATTAGTCAAAAGATACTTATACTTTGTATATTAACACACATAAAATGTATTATTGTTGTTATGTATAACATCCACACAGCTCTTCATGAGCCCAGCAGAACTGAGATTGGTCTCCTTCAAGCTTGGTTTGTCCAACTAGACGATGAGCTTAAACCAGCTTCTTCGTCTAGCTGAGCCTAAGTTGTTTATGAGCTAGCTACTTCTTTAACTCGGATAAGAAATAGCTAGTAACAACCAGCCAAGCTTTAGAAGGTCATTTCCAATCCAGGCTCGATTTCTAAATTACGTTCCCAATAATCTTGATAATTACCGTCCACTTAAATTGGTAAAAAACAAATTTCATCAATCAAAACTTCAGCGTTCACAATTCACAAATGATATAGATTTCCTCTCCCCCAATTAATACATCTTGACAGAAGATTTCAATTAACCTGCCTCAAATCAATGCATTTTGCAGTTTATACATGAATTTGTGTATTTATCTGCTGCTTTTCACCATGTAATATAAGAATTAATGATTACTGAAGCTGTGTGTGTGTGAGAGAGAGAGAGAGATAGAGAGATTAAACTAACCTGTTCGACCATCTTGTGCCTGATAATGGTGCTTCGATCGAGGATTTTCATGGCGACACTCTCGCCAGTCTCGGTGTTCTGAGCGAACTTGACTTTGGCGAATGTTCCTTCTCCGATCGTCCTTCCCACCTCATACTTCCCCACTTTCCTCACCACCATCTCTCACTAAATTCCTCTCTTCTTCTTCTTCAACAAATTGCTCTCTTTCTCTCTGTCTGTCTGTCTCTATAACAACAACAAAAATTTCAACAAAGTGTGTTGGGCTTCACGAAGAAGCCTCTGGCTTTTCCACTTTCTTTATGTGTATTATATTGAATCTTTTCCCATCCACTAAACAATATGGCTGGAAAGCAGAAAAGAAGAGAACCTTGGCAAGTAGGCCAGTAAAAGCTATAACAAGTTTTTGTATTTAATTTTGGCTTTGTTTATAGTGAATAATATGTAATTAGGAAGAAAATCTGTAGAGACTTGGGACGGTTTCTGAAGGGGGATTAGGTTTGGTCAGGAGACACAGGGAGAAGTTGACAAATGGACCAGTTAGTGGCCGTGGTCGGAAGTGAATGTCAACGGTGGCCACCGAACATCGGCACTTTTTTTTTCTTTGACATTTCTCACTTCTTCGCCTCTGCTTCTATTTGTAAGACGCATGGGGAGGAACGGTGGTGCTAAACCCCATTTTTAAACAGTAATTTTACATTTACCAATAATGAGTTAATTAATTTTACATCTGCAAGTAACACGTGTCTTCGGTACTAAAAGCACCTCGGAGCCTTCATCACGTGACACCTGTCCTCAGCTTCCAAAGTTTTCCGAGGAGAACTCTACCCGACNGACACGTGTCTTCGGTACTAAAAGCACCTCGGAGCCTTCATCACGTGACACCTGTCCTCAGCTCCCAAAGTTTTCCGAGGAGAACTCTACCCGACACGTGCCCTCCACGTCGGGTCCTCCGCTCCGTCGAGGTAATGGTGACCACCTTGGGACTTGGGCTATGACAAATAATTGAGTTCTTAGAGAAATCAAGAATAACGTCACCACATCAAAGAAATGTGTGACTTTTAATCATCAAATCCTCTTTCCAAGGTAGTTAGAATGATAAAGTAGACAATTTGGTGACCAATAGAGAGAGTTCATGAAGTACAAAACCCAGATGACTTGACCTCCTGGAGAGGCAAGGGACACAAATGCCCTAGCGCATGCGCAGCCACAATGAAGAACATTAAATGATTCATCNGGCAAGGGACACAAATGCCCTAGCGCATGCGCAGCCACAATAAAGAACATTAAATGATTCATTAGAAGGATGTGATACATATATTGTTCAGCGGACTCCAAGGGAAATGCATTAACTGCTTGGGGGCCCGAGCATTAAATGCTAAAGCTTATTTTCATCTGACAAGGAAGACGCTCTACCCAAGGACTATGTTCCACAAATTGTCTTTCAAAGGGACCAATGAGGGACTTCCTCTCTAAGGGACCCACCTATCCGCAATGATTACCTTCATTGAGGTATAAATAGTTCTCACAAATGTAAGGCAAAGGGACGCAACTCTCATCCAAATAAAAGAACAATATTCTTTCTCCCTTCTTTCACGTATTGACTTAATCGTCGGAGGGGTCATGCCAGAAAACACTCCAGTGCTCTTCTAACTTTATTTTTTGAGTGGCAGAGTTCATCTCGACACGTCAGAATCGCGCAGACTGCCGAGAAAGTTATTCATCACCACTCCTTAATATCTTTCTCACTTCCTGTTGCTATGAGATCCTCGACTTTTAGGTAAATCTCGTGTTTATCAAAGAACAGATCTGTCCTTTTTATTTATTGTGTGAAAATTGCCTCGCACACTTATCGTAATTAAATTTTATTTAATTGTAACTTGTTTTAAAAAAATTATAATTTTTAGTATGATATTCAATTTGATATTTTAATATTACCTAGGCATCACAATACCAAGGCATTAAGTCGACATATTGATGTCAACTGAATGAACTCTTGGTTGTGTAGTTGCCATTTTGTACGGTCCATATAGTCAGATAATAAATCTATCTACATTATGACATTGTTGAAATCTGCCTTGAGTGATGACTCTAGTGCCATCTTCAATACAACCACACTGGCCACCTGTATCATGCATGTCAGGACGTTATGCAACTTGTAAAAATCAGATGATAGGTCATGCCCAGTGAGTAAAACATTCAGGACCGAGCATTATTTCTATTGTCAGACATTACATATCATAAAATGGATCATTAATGGGAGTCCTGACGGAAAGACATGCTATTAATGACGGTTTAATCTTCTAAACTCGTGGGAGATAGTTATCATTATTGCACGGAATATTTGCAATAGAATGAGACAACGATCTTCAAGCTGGCGAACCTAAAACAACAGGGTCAGAAAAAGGGGGCCAGATGAGTACCCGGCTAATCCCCTCCGAAGTTTAAGTCAATATAAGGTCGAAAGATTTTGCTCAATGAACTATTTTTCTCATTCGAGTTTGCGTACCTTTGTCCATTTTTCTGAGGAGTATTTATACTTAAATTAGCAATGATTATCAAAGATCTCCAGTCTTATTTAGACATCTTACGTCTGATACACTATTCCTCGCGCAATGAGTGTTTTCTACTCACGTCTCCTCCTATTGAATGTCAGGAAAATGGAATAAATGCTCAGCTAGATGCCGAGCATTTATGCCACTCCCCGAGTACCCAAATCCCCCAAATCGGCATCTGACATCAACTGATCATTGAATATTCGGAGGGAACAATTCATCGGGGGAGCCGATCGCGTTGTCTCGGCGCGTCAGTCATTAATGCTTAGCCATCATGACAGTAGTATTAGACTCCTAGAGGGCAGGTGCTAGTAGATGAGCATTTATTTGTCTTATCACTATAACTCATTTCACTATAAATGAGGAGTCATATCGCATTAAATACGATGTCAGTTGTCGTACTCGACTGCTCCGTGTCACCATACCTTGGCTTATCTCCTCGGCGCTCTTTAGACATCCCACCGGCTTCATTATTCCACGTGTCAACTCGGGGGCTGTAGAGCCACCTAGAGTCTTGCCAATTATTTTGCATTAATAACAACTAAATCGAGGAAGGAGCCCTTGGGAGCTCCTGAGAGGATGTAACAACCATTCATTATGGCTCAACTGTAAGGTCTGAATATTTTTTTAGATTGCTCGTTGGTCGGGGAATGAGTTTTTAATAGTTGGTGCGTGCCCAAGGGCGAGTCCAGGCATCTGAGTGCTCAATATTAATGAAAAGTGATGGGAGAGTACTCATTATGTTAGATGGTGAACCCATACTACTAAATGCTAGGATGGGACTCAGAGTAGGAGTTGTATTATTGTGTGTTGAGGTATAAATACTCTTATAAAAATGAGACTCAAGTAGGCAATCTGAATTTACAACATATTGTACACTCATTTTCACTTGAACGCCGACTGACTTAAGTATTGGAGGGAATTAGCTGGATGTACACCTAGCCCATTTCCTGACTTTGCTAAGTGTTTTCAGATTCACCATTCGAGTTTATGTAGAAGATCGCTATCTCAATCCATTGCAGAAAATTGCCTGTGCAATGCATATATGGCTAAAGGCTTTGATATTCAACTCTTAGGGTGGTCTAGTGGTGAAGTGACTCAAGCCGGTCCTCTTGTAATTAAGAAGTTTGAGGTTCAATATTTTTCACAACATAAGTGTCAATCACATTTGTTCCTCAGAAGATGTGTTCTTAAACTAATTCAAGTTATGGTGGCCTACTTAGAGCTCAAAACGCAAGAGAGAGTAGTTAACGCAAGCTTGAACACCTTGTAGCCCAAAAAAAAAAGAAATTGCTTTGGTATTGGGTCATTATTTGGACAATGGAGATGGGAAAGTAATTAGGGAAAAAATTATAGTTGGTCCCTAAATTTTATTTGTGGTTTCAATTTAGTCTATGAATTTTTAGTTGCCCCAATTCAGTCTCTGAATTTTTAATAGCCTCGGTTCAATCTTTCAACAATCAATTTTGTCTTAAGTAAGTCTTTTCATCAATTTTATCATTAAATCAATTGGAGATTAGCCCAATTTGATCCATTTCAGTGTTAATCTAACAATGAAAATTGACGACATGATGTAATTGAAATAAAAATTGATAGTTGATGAACTAAATTGTGACAATTGAAAGATTATGGATAAAATTAAAATCGAAAACAAAGTCCATGGACCAACTATAATTTTTACCCAAATAATAATGCAAGTTTTCAAATTTGAGTTTAGTTTTACAATAAATTAAGCTAAAAACTTTTATGCTTCTTGAGGGTGTTTTTTTTTCTCAAATTAGCAGGACAACAACTGATATTTTTTAAGAAGTGTAAAAACAGTTTCTTGGAGCTGGTGCAATCGACAATGAAAAAACTATTTTATCTTTATCCAACAAAGTTAAATATTTATAAACAAAAAAGGGGGCCAATGCGCAATTTGAGACTTCAATTTTCCTCAATATCAAATGTCCCTATACATGACACAAACTCAAATACCATGGGATCTGTATGCTATTTTTTCAAGACTTAGGGGATGTTAGTGTAGTTTATCCCCAACCTAAATTGGCTTGGTGTATGAACCTAAATTTGAGGAAGAATACAATTAAGTCCGACCTTAGTATCATGTGATCTTATTGTCCTGTGTTCAGAGCCATAAGCCATGGATGCATCCCTCAAAGCTTCACAAGGAACTTCAAAAAATAATAATTTATTATATTGTTAAATATACCGTAGAATTCAACACATAGATACTGCACTTCCTCCAATTGAAAAAATTAGTCAAAATCTAGATGGAACCTGCTATTTATGTGTGAACCTCAATATCAGGAACTGCCTTAGAGTGCAATTCTCATGGTAGCTTTACACTTCCACTAAATCTGCATATATCCAGGAAGGTACATGAGGCATGAAACCAAAACCAAACGAAAGAAGTATGGCCGTTATGGGTCATTAAAAGGGATGGTCTGTACTCTTTAAACTACCACATTTGAAAGATTAATACACAAACCATAATCTTAAGTACTTCTATGCTGTGTCATTGAATCTGCATTACAGCAAAATCATTTAGTAGTTCATCGTTTTCGAACCGAGGGATGGAGAAGAATCAAGAACTTGAATGGGTTGAAGCACAGAAGATTGGCATAAGCCAAGACCTTGTGGCTGCAGCCAAGCAGCAGCTAAAATTTCTAGCAGCTGTCGATAAGAATCGCCACCTCTATGATGGCCCTGCCTTAGAGAGAGCCATATATAGGTACATATGATACCAAGTTATTGCTCTATGATTTTATAAGCCTAACAGAATTTCAATCCTGAAGGAATTAATCACACTTTCTGATGCTCTCTCGTCCATGCTCATGAAAAATTGTGAAGAATTGAACCTTNCAAGGAAATAGTTCCCTCAATTGAGTATGACAAAATAATTTATCTGCCACGGAAAATGCTCGTGGAGGTACCCTAAACTTTCCCTTGCCACTTCCTCAATTTTGGTTTTATTCAAATTACATATGCAGAAAAAGTGGACTGTGGTGATCCTTAACTATCACCGAAAGTTTTCTTTTATGTGTAAGATTATTTTAAGTGAAACTATAATGCTTTGGTATTTCAGTTTCCAAGCACATGATCCTTGGAAATTGATAGCCGTCCATCAAAGTTGTTCAGTCTGTGTACATTGGAGATTTTTGCTTTATTGTTTCCAATTCCTGTTCAGGTTTTCCTGGAGATTGTGGGGGTAAGGAACTTACCAGCTGGTCATACAGGCAGTCTCTTTGTCTATTTCAGTAAGAAACAGCCAGATGTGCTCTTCAACACCAAAAGAAGATTAAGCATTATGTCTGAGCTAGGGAAGAAGCAAGTTGCAGCTCTCCGTTGTGAACCTACTGGAGAGCTGCTTTTTGAACTCATGTCATACTTGCCTTCTAGCTTGCACACTGAAAATTCACTCAAAATTTTGGGAACTACTTCAATCGCGCTACAGGAGCTGCTGAACTCCATTTCCAAACTCTCAGTTGATAAATGGTTTGACTTGGTATCCAGTTCTGAAGTTGTAGGCTCCCAGCCAATTACTCTGCGGGTTGCTGTCTCTGTCACTCCTCCAGTTCAAGCACCATATCTGGTGCACATGGTTCGAGGGCACCCATTATCAAGCACTTCTTCCTTTCCACTTCCTGAAAGGTTTCAACAGGCCAAGAGTTGGACATGTATTGTAGATGAGGCTGGCAACGAGGTCATCAGTGTCCGAATGAGGTGCATACTCATTTATGAGCATGCTTTTGAAGGGCAACTGCATAATGCAATGAATTATTTATATTATTGTATCATCTTCATAAACTATCTTAATCTCTCTCATTTTCATAAATTTTCCAAGGCATTTGTAATCACACGATAGAACTTGAAATTATAAACCATTCTGAAGGTCTAATGTCAATAATTTGGGCTCTGTTTGTAGTGGGGATCCAAAGAAATCAGAGGGGAAGAGCAGTTGTACTTCTAGAAAAGAAGTAATTGGCGTAACAAGATCTGGTAAAACATGTCTTCTTGTGGAGTTGCTTGGAGAAGGATGGTCTTTGATGGGTTCCCAATGGTCCTTTCAGCTTCAGAAGAATGCTAGTGAAGATGACATTGCATTTGAGCTTATGGGCAGCAGAAAGGTCAGTATCTATATTGTAAGGGGTAGAAATTACTACGGATCTCATCTCTCCACTTAAAGGATTCCGGCCGACCTGGCGGCACCGAGCCCCAGTAGCCTTTACCTCTCTTCACCAATAGGACCATAGGACCCTTTCCTAAGGCAAATAGGACCCTTTCATAAGGCAATCCTACATCGGAAGAGAGTCGTCTTCCCCGGGGCTATTGGCGAAGAGAGGTAAAAACTACTGGGGCTCGGTGCCGCCAAGTCAGCCGGAATCCTTCAAGTGGAGGGATGAGATCCGTAGCGATTTCTACCCCATTACATATATCATCACTGGCTTGGTTTATAAATGTAACACCAGTATTGCAAAAGAATCAGACCACCAAGCAAAATAATGAAAAAAATTCCCTTAAAAGCAATTTCAGAACTTTCTTGTTCATGACCACTGATCAGAGTACCTTGGAACTTGGAAGCACATCAATCAGCTGGGACTTTTCCAAAGTCTCTTCTTTTGTTTCTCCCCTCGTTCTATCAGACAATCTGCTATAAATACCAAAAAATACATTTTGGCAGTCTATGTTGGTGGTAAAACTTGCTGATAAATTAATGTGATTTGTAAAGCTTTTTATTCAATTTCCACATGACACTTCCATGGGAGTTTTCTGAAATATCAACACTTTTTTCCCTCCAATATCATATTCTTGGATTGAAGCATCTTTATGGCACTGGAATGCTTTTCAATCCGTCCTGAAAAAATTCCATTCAAATTAGTTGAAGTTCAAGCATAAAATACTAAGATCTAATTCATAATTACTGATAGTTTAGAAATGATAGTAAAACTACTCAGTTGATTGAATTGCAAATTCATTAATATGCAATCCGTAATGAGGTGAAAAACTGTAAATATGTTCCTTTCTGCCCCATATTGGTGTCGATGGATTAAGAACAGCCTCGTCCCAACTCACGAATCCATGTAATTTACATGAACACATATATTAATCATTTACTATGAGCTACATCTAATTTTCATACAACATGAAAATGCGACACTTCTCTATAAATTTTTGCTCCAGATAACGATTTTTCATGGAAGAAAACTGGCATACGAAATAGAGGATTGCAAGAGGAAGGAAGATGAAAGGGATTTCATGACAGTAGTAGAATTCTCTGATGAAGATCCTTACGGAAAAGCAATAGCTTTGCTTAACCTGAAATCGGGTTTTCTCCGGGTAGATACCATTGTTTCTTCATTTGCTTATTTCATTAACTCAAATTTGAAGCTCCTCAGTAAAATTGAAATGCTTGAATTTGTGTATGAGATGGAACAGGTTGAGGAACAAGGGTTTGTATTGCCTGGAATCACCCTGGCCTTCATACTTTCCGACATTTTACTGAAAGAAGGCTACGGTTCTTCAAATTTGAAAAGAGAGAAAATTAGAGAGGCTCATGAAGCAATGCCAGAAAAGGATTGCCCATGCAGTGGAGAATGCAGCAAGAGAAATGGAACTGTCCAAAAAGGCCTTTTGAGCATAGAATATGGTGGCTGTGTCCATGCAAGTACAATGAAGAGCCACTGTTTTAGTGGGTTGACTGGAGCTAGTGCTTGCGGCGGGTCTGGTGGCTGTGGTGGCGGATGTGGTGGCAGCTGTGGTGGTGTAACTTGTAGTGGCGGAGGTTGTGAAGGAGAATGTTGAAGGGGTTGATGGTGTTTCTCAGAAGAAATAAGCTTGCCTCACTGCTTTGCTTATAAGATGACAAAATAAGGCATTGCACCAAATTAAAGTCATAAATAAGTGAAACATATTTTATTGGTTATCACTATTTTCAATATTTTGAAGTTGGAATTTACTTCTACTCTCACCAATAGATCATCACAATACTTTCCCGCTTACATACCAGATTAATACTGGATCTTGTGCAAAGTAGTCTCTCCACAAAAACAAAAGAGGGTAAATCTATGGGATGACCCAAGGAGCTATGCTTCGTGGGATATTTGAACTCTTGACTTGTCCCTCTTTATCATCTGACTGAGTTATCACTAGGCTAACCCTTTGAGGTTCATACTAGTCTAGTTGATTCCCACTAGGTTACTCGTCTAGTTAATTGCAACTTAATTTAAAATATTCATCGCAATCTTATCTTCAGATATAAGCAAATTCAAAAGATCCACCTAATCTAATTTGATATTGTGAGATCCAATGATTTATATCCACCAAAAAGAGAAGTAGCCTAATCAAATAATCAGCTTATGTAACTTTTTAATTCAATGTTGTCTTCTGCTTAGTAGTTTGGGATACAACAAAACTCTTTCAATTTTCTTTTCCACTTCATGTTATTTATGCTTAAGTGGTCAATTAATTGATATAAAGGTGTGTGTGTGTGTGTGAGAGAGAGAGAGAGAGAGAGGGAGAGAGAGAGAAGGGTGTACTACAAATCTTCAGTTTTTAGTGTGTTACACTAAATTATGATTTAATGTGAAACTGCCATTCAACTTTATTTTAGGAGGGGGCATTGGATAAAACAAAATGTTTTGACAGGCGGATTTAAAAAAAGGGATCCAAAAATCATTCTTCTTCACTTAGAGAAGAGCATTATTCTAAGATTTTACTTCCTTCAGGAGGCATGCTTTAAAAGCCGACAAAAGGCATGTTCTTCCCCTGGTAGAGTTTTAAAATGAACTATAAATATTAGTATGTTTTAAGCACACTTGAGTTAATTTTAGCTAGGTGTGTAATAAGAAGGCCCATATGAGTATTTTTAATAGTACTCTCCATTTTAGAGAGTATTTTTTTTTTTGAAATAAAAAATATCTTCATCAAAAAAATAAAATAGAGAATGAAATTTTTTATATAACTCCAATGAATTCTCTATTCTAACGAAAGAATAGTCTTTATAATCAAAACTTTTAATGAAAAAGGTATAATTCTCGTCTTATTATTCATTAATGATCGAATAAAGAGTTAAATTAGACTCTCCAAATGTAGAGAGCTAAATTAGACTCTTTATTTTAACTAATCTAAATAGAGAGTCTATTGGAGATAAATTTTTAAGAGTTAACTCTCTAAAATAGAATTGAGAATCTATTAGAGAAGTTCTTATAGTGGTTGATTTGCTATGCAATCTCGATCTTAATAAAATTTTAATTACATCTGTTGCTGTTATTGACTTAAAAATTATTAGTTTTTCACATACAGAATAAGATTGAGTACATCTGGCTTTCTTATGATCTGGCATCGACGGCGAAGGCGACTGAACTCTTCTTCCTTAGCAGCTCAAAATAATTGATATTTTTGAACTTTGTTTGGCTACTCAAGTGTTGCTGTCAAATTTTAAGGAAAAAAGCAAATGTATTAAAAGGTGTTCTCTCTCTCCAGCATGTATTTGATATGAGAATAGTCATCCACCATTGATACAAAAGTCAAAATAGTGAAATGTACAAATCTGAAAGAGACAAGAAGTAAGAAAATTTTACAGCGTAAAAGTGAAAAATAAAATATATGGTCAGGAGTCTCTGTGCAATAACATATAGAAAGAAGTCAAAGAACAGCTGACAATATTTTCCATCAGCCAAAAAACAGAGTCTCTCGAAGTTGGGATTAGTAAAGTATTGCTACACACCCAAACCAATATACCATTCTCATGATCTCATCAGGCACACACAAGAACAAACATTATCAAATTGCCAAACAACCCCACTGATCAAAACTAAACACTATAAACTAACTGCACAATATTATAGTAAAATAAAATTTACATCCAACAAAATTTTAACAAGAAAAACTCCTATGATGGGATAACTAAGGAATGGTTAATCATAACCTCAAGGGGTAGATCATTGGAGATAGGATGACCCGTAAACTCATACATTTTCAATTTAAAATTTAACAATTATGTTGAAGTCAGATCATGAAAGATTAATCAAGTCTGTCTTTGATTAGTTAGAAAGGGAGGTAAGTTGGCTCAAACACTACTCGTTAGCATACCAAAAAAAAGTAGTTAAACATATAACATTTGCAAAAACTATACAGAGAATTCAATAATCACATTCACAACATAAACCACTCTAATAAAGTAGTTAAACATATAACATTTGCAAAAACTATACAGAGAATTCAATAATCACATTCACAACATAAACCACTCTAATAAAGTAGTTAAACATATAACATTTGCAAAAACTATACAGAGAATTCAATAATCACATTCACAACATAAACCACTCTAATAAAGTAGTTAAACATATAACATTTGCAAAAACTATACAGAGAATTCAATAATCACATTCACAACATAAACCACTCTAATAAAGTAGTTAAACATATAACATTTGCAAAAACTATACAGAGAATTCAATAATCACATTCACAACATAAACCACTCTAATAAAGTAGTTAAACATATAACATTTGCAAAAACTATACAGAGAATTCAATAATCACATTCACAACATAAACCACTCTAATAAAGTAGTTAAACATATAACATTTGCAAAAACTATACAGAGAATTCAATAATCACATTCACAACATAAACCACTCTAATGTTCTCATCAATGTATTCTCAACAAAAACAAACTGCCCAAACAAACAAAACTAATGCACTAAACACCATAAATTTGCACAAAAAAACCACAATTTGCACAAACCACTATGCTATAATGTTCTTATTAGTTTCTCAAGAAGTGAACAACAAGAAAAAAAAATCACACAGAAGCCTGAGAACCCTTGGATGCAACATCCTAACCCTCTTGATTTAACGCGCCACCACTTTGCCTCACATCCATCGCCGCGCTCACCGCCTGATATTGCGGCACCACCCCTCCTGGTGCAGTGTAGTACACCTGCCTCCCTGCCCCGTCATAGCCAACCTGCGCATACCCCGCCTCCGTCACCCCAATTCCGCCGCTCATTTGCGGCCGCACCATTCCAATGGCTTCGCTGTAGCCTCCAATTTTCGGTTGCTGAATCGATTGCTGTGGGACCAGATTGTACATTGGTTGTTCTCGGTAAACCTCCGGTACTACTCTTTGCATCCCATAGTAACCCTGGCCGACTTGTCCGGTCACCGGACGCATTGCCGGAGCCTGATACATACCAGCCGCCGTAGGAATCAGATAAACCTGCTGTTCATTTCCCGGCGCTGCCGCCATAGGGTAAAGTCCGCTATTCATGGGCCGTTCTGAAAAGTATGACCCCGGAATTTGCACCGGCACCGTCGGTTGCGGCAGCGAAAGTTTTTCTTGAAGTTTCTGTTGATAATACTCTCCAGAATAGCCCCTAGGATTTGTTTCGTCGATTTTCCGGTTAAACATAGCTTGATCGTGACTTGAAATCTGCAGTCTCTGGAACTCCGCCGGGGAGACCACGGGGTCTCCAATTACATGCCGATCCTCCGATCCACAATCCGATCCGGCGTGAAATTCTTTTGCAGTTATCTCCGGAACCGTCGGTTGCTGCGGCGGCGGATCTTGTAATTTCGATGCCACTACTGGCGGCGCTTGACTTTTCTCCAGACCAAACAAAAAGTCCGGAATTGCCGTCGATGTCGCAGCCGATGGAGAAGAAGTCTCCAGATTCTGTATCTGCACAGAATTCAAGGCGTCAACGAACCATTGTCGCTCCGATTTAGTATCGTTCGTACCAAAAGTACTAGACGGAGGATTCACAGGGAACAAAAACAGTCTAAGTCTCGCGGGCTTAGCCGAAGCACGATAGAGCCTATCATACTCAAGCATCATATGCTCTAAATCCTCATCAGTAGTTACCGAAATCAAAGCGTCAAGATCTTCACCAGGCAACTGGTACTTGAAGCAGGCATCGGAGTCGCACAGAGACGACAATTTCTGCATGAAGCCGGAGAACCGGATGTTCCGGTCGACGGCTAAGATCTTGGTGTCACCGCCGACGTACGTGAGTTGATTGTCATGTGGTCTTGGGTGGATTTTTCCGCCATAGCTGCACATAAATTTGACTTTGTAGTTGGTGGGTGGTTCATCCCATGAAGCGTTTTCGCAATCGATTTCTCGGGAACGCGGTGAGGAGTTGCCTGAGTCCGGGTAAGAAGAGTAGGACAAGTTTTCCATTTGGATATATGTTTATGGTGAAATTTTGGGGGTTTCTGATCAGAGGAATTGCCTTTAGGGTTTGGAGTTTATGAAAAGGTGAGGGGTGGAGGACAAGAGAGGAGGACCTGGAGAAGACTGCTCAGAGAGAGTGGGTAGGGACAGGGAGGAGAGATTCTTGTGTGGTGAGTGGGGGAAGGTTATTGGTGGGGGTGGTGGGACCCTTTACTTGGTCTATTATTGATTGTGTTCTTCAAGCTAGGATCATCTACGGTCGATACCAAATTGAACCGCACGGTTCAACTTTAATGTGATCGTGTTTGTCTAGATCGTGATTATCTAGAATTTGTGTTGCGTATTTATAACTTAAAAACTAATATTATACTAATCAAATTTGTTAAATTAATATAAAGTAATTGACTTAGTAGATCCTATTTCTTTTTATTAATCACCTGATGACTATCAATATGTATTATTAGACAAAAAGAATTTGAGAATATAATTAGAAGTTTAGCAAGTTAAGTTTAATTTTTGAAAATTCAGAATTGTGTTAGTCAGTCGCTGATTACGAAAGAATAGTCTTACAACAAATCAAAAAAAATCGAAATGAGTTATTTATTCTTTAAATTTATCGGAATACTTCATTATTTGTTCAACAAAGTTATAATATTTTGAATATATATTGGGAAATAATTAATTTAAATCCATTAATTTTATGTCAATTTATATTATGCTAATATATTGTGGTGAAAATTATAACTAAGATCTACTTCTATGATATCATGCCAAATGAATTGTGATGTCCCAATCTAAAACCACATGAGTCTGATTGTATAGCTAATATCGAATTCCACCAACTAGGAGAGACGCGACCTCAGAGGATTCAGATCTGCGGAGTAGAAAGATAAAGCTGATGCGTGGAAGGGAGAGTCGAAAATGATTCGAGTGCCACTCAAACAAATATATATATATATATATAATGCAAATAAATAAATAAAATTGAATAAAGAAACGAGATAATCGTTATTGAAAGGAAACGAGATGTCCGCCGTCGATGACTCGGCAAATCGCTTTCTGGACCACTTGTTCTTCTTGAGTTTTCTATTGGGGCCCTTAGCAGTGGCCCTGCTTTCTACACGAATATAAAAGAGTGAGATAAGCGATGGGCCTTCGGATTAGTGTCTAACTACATTAATNCAACCTGCAATCCCTAGGTTTGATGGTCACTATGACCATTGGGCCATGTTGATGGAGAATTTTCTCCGATCCAAGGAGTATTGGAGTTTGATTGAAGTTGGGATACCTGCAGATGCAACAGGAGTTGAGCCAACTGAGGCACAGAGGAAGGCAATGGAGGATCAGAAATTGAAAGATTTAAAAGTGAAGAATTATCTCTTTCAATCTATTGATCGGACTGTCATGGAAACTATCTTGAATAAAGAGACTGCAAAGAGCATATGAGAATCAATGAAGCAGAAATATCAAGGATCCAGCAAGGTAAAACGTGCTCAATTGCAAGCTCTTCGGAGAGACTTCGAGGTTCTTGGAATGAAAGAAGGTGAGAGTGTTGATGATTATTTTGCAAGGACTCTCACCATAGCAAATAAAATGNAAACGTGCTCAATTGCAAGCTCTTCGGAGAGACGTCGAGGTTCTTGGAATGAAAGAAGGTGAGAGTGTTGATGATTATTTTGCAAGGACTCTCACCATAGCAAATAAAATGAAAGCTCATGGTGAGCAAATGGGGCAAATTGTTATAGTGGAGAAGATCCTGAGATCAATGACACCAAGGTTTGATTATGTGGTGTGTTCCATTGAAGAATCAAATGATCTTGCAACCATGACTATTGATGAACTTCAGAGCAGTTTATTGGTGCATGAGCAGAGAATGAGAGATCACAAGGAAGAAACACATGCTTTGAAGGTCACAGGTGGAGAAAGGTTTGAAGCAAGGGAGGATGACAGAGTTGGAGGTAGAGGAAAAGCTCGTGGAGGCTTTAGAGGCAGAGGAAGAGGCCGAGGGAAGTAGCCACTCAACAGAGCCATCATCGAGTTNGATGACAGAGTTGGAGGTAGAGGAAAAGCTCGTGGAGGCTTTAGAGGCAGAGGAAGAAGCCGAGGGAAGCAGCCACTCAACAGAGCCATNATCACAAGGAAGAAACACATGCTTTGAAGGTCACAGGTGGAGAAAGGTTTGAAGCAAGGGAGGATGACAGAGTTGGAGGTAGAGGAAAAGCTCGTGGAGGCTTTAGAGGCAGAGGAAGAGGCCGAGGGAAGTAGCCACTCAACAGAGCCATCATCGAGTGCTACAAGTGTCATAAATTAGGGCATTTTTAGTATGAATGCCCTAATTGGGAGAAAAATGGCAACTACGCAGAGCTTGATGAAGAAGAGGAAATGCTCCTCATGTCGTATGTGGAACTTCATAACTCAAGAAGAGAGGAGGTATGGTTTCTTGACTCTAGTTGTAGTAACCATATAAGTGGTAATAAGCTTTGGTTTTCAAATTTGGATGAAAGCTTTAGCCAGTCTANTGAATGCCCTAATTGGGAGAAAAATGGCAACTACGCAGAGCTTGATGAAGAAGAGGAAATGCTCCTCATGTCGTATGTGGAACTTCATAACTCAAGAAGAGAGGAGGTATGGTTTCTTGACTCTGGTTGTAGTAACCATATAAGTGGTAATAAGCTTTGGTTTTCAAATTTGGATGAAAGCTTTAGCCAGTCTGTAAAGCTAGGAAATAATTCTAGAATGGTTGTGATGGGAAAAGGGAACATTAGATTGAATATTGGTGGAGTGATTCAAGTGATCAATGACGTGTTTTATATCCCAGAATTAAAGAACAATCTATTAAGCATAGGTCAATTGCAGGAGAAGGGATTAGCCATACTCATTCAACATAATGTGTGCAAGGTGTTTCATTCTACTAGAGGCTTAATTATGCAAACAACAATGTCTGCTAATAGAATGTTCNTGGGAAAAGGGAACATTAGATTGAATATTGGTGGAGTGATTCAAGTGATCAATGACGTGTTTTATATCCCAGAATTAAAGAACAATCTATTAAGCATAGGTCAATTGCAGGAGAAGGGATTAGCCATACTCATTCAACATAATGTGTGCAAGGTGTTTCATTCTACTAGAGGCTTAATTATGCAAACAGCAATGTCTGCTAATAGAATGTTTGTGGTGTTAGCCTCTATGTTTCCACAGGAATCAACTTGTTTTTAGGCAACCAGTGAGAATGATACTCATTTGTGGCATTGCCGGTTTGGTCACCTCAATTTCAAGGGCCTGAGGACACTGTATTATAAGAAAATGGTCAAAGGCCTACCAACACTCAAAACTCCTACAAAAGTGTGTTGATTGCCTTGTGGGGAAGCAACATAGGGACTCCATTCGTAAGAAGAGTCTCTGGAGAGCAACACAAAAGCTACAGCTTGTACATGCAAACATTTGTGGACCTGTGACGCCTAAATCCAATAGCAGAAAGAGGTACCTGCTTACTTTCATTGATGATTTTAGTAGGAAATGTTGGGTGTATTTTTTATCGGAGAAGTCAGAAGCACTTGGCATGTTCAAAAGGTTTAACAGCTTTGTTGAGACGGAATTNTTCATTGATGATTTTAGTAGGAAATGTTGGGTGTATTTTTTATCGGAGATGTCAGAAGCACTTGGCATGTTCAAAAGGTTTAAGAGCTTTGTTGAGACGGAATTTGGTTCATTGGTGTGTTGCCTACGCACAGATAGAGGTGGTGAGTTTACCTCGAGTGAATTCAATGAGTTTTGCAATTCAAATGGTATTAAAAGACAACTTACTGCTGCCTATACCCCTCAGCAAAATAGAGTTGCTGAGAGGAAAAATAGGACAATTATGAATCTTGTAAGGAGCATGTTGTCAAAGAAGAAAGTTCCNTGTGTTGCCTACGCACAGATAGAGGTGGTGAGTTTACCTCGAGTGAATTCAATGAGTTTTGCAATTCAAATGGTATTAAAAGACAACTTACTGCTGCCTATACCCCTCAGCAAAATAGAGTTGCTGAGAGGAAAAATAAGACAATTATGAATCTTATAAGGAGCATGTTGTCAAAGAAGAAAGTTCTTAAAGAATTATGGCCTGAGGTAGTAAATTAGTGTGTGCATGTTCTAAACAGAAGCCCTACCTTGGTTGTAAAAAACATCACATCTGAAGAGGCATGGAGTGGCATCAAACCATCAGTGGAGTACTTTCGAGTTTTTGGCTACATTGGTCATGTTCATGTTCCAGATGCTACACGAACCAAGCTGGATGCCAAAAGCTTTAAATATGTGTTGCTAGGTGTGAGTGAAGAAACTAAAACCTATAAACTCTACAACCCTATTACAAAGAAGATTGTGGTAAAAAGAGATGTAGTGTTTGAAGAAAATGAGAATTGGGATTGGGAAAAGAGCATAGAAGAAGTGAGAGGTGATGTGCTTCAAGTGGGTAATGAAGAAGATACAAAAGAGAGTGAGGAATATAATGAAAGTGACGATGAAATTGGAGAATAAGAGCACGCGGATGCAAGAGCTGTGGGTAGCTCATCTTCAACAGGTTCACTTAGGAGAGATGAGTCTAGTCCACTTGGAGAAAGAACCAGAAGAGCACCTCATTGGATGGAGGATTATGTCACAGGTAAAGGATTGTCTGAGGGTGAAGAAATGCACAACTTGTTGCTATATACTCCAACTGGAGATCCATGTATTTTGAAGTTACATCAAAGTGTTTGAAATTGAGGGAGGCCATGGACAGTGAGATAAGAGCAATAGAAAGAAATGGTACTTAGAAGCTGACTGACTTGCCAAAGGGATCCAGGAAGATAGGAGTAAAGTGGATCTTCAAAACAAAACTCAATGAACGAGGTAAAGTTGACAAGTACAAGGTTCGGCTTGTAGCAAAAGGTTATGCACAACAACATGTCATTGATTACACTGAAGTATTTGCTCCGGTTGCTAGGTGGGATACAATCAGGATGATTTTGGCTCTAGCTGCATAGAGAGAATGGTGTGTGTATCAACTAGATATAAAGAGTGCGTTTTTACATGGGGAGCTGAATGAAGAAGTGTTCATTGAGCAGCCTCAAGGTTATGGGAAGCAGGGAGAAGAGCATAGAGTTTACAAGTTAAAGAAGGCATTGTACGAGTAAAAGCAAGCTCCTTGGGCTTGGTA